GACTGTATAGCAGCAGAATGTGTCCGCTTTGTAAACCGTCTATCTTTTTCTGCTGCCGCAACCACGGATCCACTACTACAATGTCCTCAGCCTCCGTGGAACTCTCAACACAGTCAAATATTGGCCAAATTGCACAATATTATAATCCTGTCATAGTCAAGGCTAGAAGAGGAAGAAGTGGATGCTATTTGTGCTACCATCTTAGCCTGTGCAGACGCTGACTATGCGCTTCGAAATGCTGCCTGCACAGTTTCAGGAAGCACATGCTTTTCCAAAACACTTGCTTAAAAATTTTAACTTCAGAATGTGCACGCCACATGACCGAGTCTGAATGTATTAGACAACGTGACAAATCTGACTGCTCGCATTCGTTTTAAATGCAACAAGTCGTCCTCTAAATGGCGTTATTTTGCAATCCTTGCTCAACTCGTACAATCTCCTCACAAATTACGTTATTACTTTCTATGCAAAAGCCCTTTGCCTATCGTGATACTGATTTTCAGCAAAAAGACCAGAGTCCCTTATCGATTTCTGTGCAAACCTCTGCTTATGCCTGAGATATATTTAATGCATTTGCAATTTTTTTTAAATAACTGGAGCTCACGCAACAACTGAGGACTTATGAAAAAGACAAACCGTGTGGTAGCATAAAGCGATGCAATCGACAGTGGAGCCAAGAAGAAGGGCATTTGGAAAACGCTTGTGGCTGTTCTGACATGAGCATGCAGGCAGCCATTTGCAACATGTGACAAATGCCGATTTCGCATGCAGTTCAATAAATTTGAGTAAAAACAGGCCGTTCATGTTGACGACAATATTGTTTAAAATGAGTCAAGCTTATTAAGAATGGAAAGGTGTGGGAATTGATACTTAGGGTGTCACATCTTATCTTATATCGTTATCGACCCAAATCCTCATATGGTTTATACATTGTATCATACATTGAAAACCAAATAGCCGTGACGTTAACCGGTGTTCTAGAGGGGATGCACAGATTTTGCGGAAAGGTAAATGGAATTATTCAAAAATCACTTTGAATAATAGACGCGCCCTCTTTAGGCCTGCATATGAAGTTAATTAACATTACCTGGAGGGTCTTAAGGCTTAGGAGTCAAGCGCCTTATCCTAAACTCCGACATTTTATCGATTTTAGGTAATAATCGATGGGCTATTGACCTAGGAGTAAATCAGAGTCAACCAATCTGGTCGTACATTTTCCAAGTCTGTGGTTTGTTTTGACTAAACCTTGACGTCTACACCAACGATGGACCATCACACTGTCGACGTCGCTCTCTCTCTGTTATCTACAATTTTGAACCACATATCACGGCCTCTGCATAAATGCAATCTCAACTAAGCACGATTTGATTGAACCTAATTGTGCGTCACTATAAGCAATTTTAGTGATTGAAGTTAAAACATGTGTGACATATTAGGTTAACTTGTATTTACTTATATTTTCTCAGTAAACAAGACATCGTTCCATTGACTTCAGACAAATAGAGGATTCGGTCACGAATCTGGTCAGCCACGTTTACGCATGGTGGCATGCTGACCAAACATTCAACAATGAAGACCTTTTAAGGCCTTGTTGCTGACTAATCTTTTGTTGTGGTTTTTAAATAGAACAAAGGCTATTAAATATCCATAGATATTTTATTCGTTTCGTCCACATCGTTATGGCGGATTTTGGTATGAGACAAAGGTGAAGCGTTCATGAAGTTCAGGCCGCGGAATCAATTTTTGGCTAGCCATGTCCACGTGTAGACGTCAGCGAGAGATGCCAATGTTCAGCGAGACCTGCATGCAACGTCAAAAGATATCTGCGGTACAGCAATCTGAGGTGATGCTTTGCTCTAAAAGAGGACACCAATAGTGTTAGCAAGGTTCGATAAAGGTACTGAAGCAAAGGAAATTGGATTTAACTAAAAGTGCTCTACAATACTCGCGGCGTGGAAGATGTCCTGGAATAGGAGGTGTTTGTGAACCAATAGCACTTGGATCAAAATCTACAAAGCGAAAGTTCCGAACAGTCTCTTTCTCTAACTGCGCCATTGAGGCTTCAAGAGTATTTAGCAGAGACTCTGCCGATCGAAGCTTTTGCATCATTTGCTTTTCCAATTTCACCATTTAGGCCTCAAGAGAATTTGGGTGTGAGTCTAATAAGCGAAGCTGATGCGTCCTTAATTCCTCCAAATTCAACCCACTTGGGATGCTGTAGTCTTTGGCAAACCCGACACATTTTCATTAGTGAGCGCACTGAGCACAGGCTGTGTTTGCATTATGGTCGCGTTCGAACTATCAAAAGAATAAAAAATGCTAGCAATGAATTCATGTTTTTCATGCTCACACCATGCACAATACATGACAGGAGACGAAACTGCGACACACGATATCACACACAATGGCATGCATGGTATTTGCACGTTGTAAAATATGTCGTTGTACACAACTATGATGGAGTAGATTAGAAAACGCAGTGTTGATTGTCAAAATTCCGAGTGCTAAGAGTCTGGTAGGTTAGCCAAACGCATTTTCGGATAATACTAGCGCAGACAGAAGCATCACAAACACACACAATCGACAGAATCGCTAAATGGATAGAATGTATGCTCACCAATAAAAATGTCCACACGTTCAGCGAGGTCTACATATATGGATTTATGTTGCATCATCGAGACAGCCAATTTATCAATCTCCATTTACCGTTGTTCTATTAACTGGCCAATAATTGTAGTCAAATGCTAAAGCCTATCTGTATATAGGAGTGACATGTAAAAAGCGCACATCGCCAAATTACATTAGGGATAGGAAAACCCAACCTAAAATAAGCACTACAATGTCGCCATATCTGGTAATATTCATCTTGATAATCCTAAGTCATTAGCAGTCATGTCTTGATGTGTCAGGATCGCAAGTGACAAAGTCTTTGCAAGCAAGATGCTTGTCATTAATTGAGTCGACTTTGGCCAATGGTCATGTCAAATTTCCCCAAAATGAGATTAAATCATGGCCGTTTTCAATATCTGCTTCTGTTGAATTGCGACGAACAAATTGCAAGCGAAGGCTGCCGTATGTCCATTCACGGTTTAAAGCGTTCGACGAGAAACACAGTCTGTAAATTCGCATGCTGCTTTTGGTCTATTCACCGGCGATCACTTCGTTTGCAAGCAGTGCCTAAAATACAGATCCATTGAAGTGACACCGCAACGGGTTATTATCCAATGGATAGTGTTCTCAATTTCCAACTACCTGTCAAGTGGTGATTCTTTTACACCCCATCGACTTCCATATAATTGCCACGCATTTTTCGAGTTGTAAATTTTAAATACGTTTGAACCTACAAGGGAAGTGTTTTGAGGAAAGGGTTCTGGAGGTTTGTTGACAATGGCAACTTGCTTCTTTTTCTGCAATATTTGAGAACTCATGGCATTCCTAACAGATTTCAAAGCAGTCAATTCGCAAAGACCACAGTAGGGGTAAAGCAAGAATGTTATCACATTCTGGCTTACAGCGTGAAAACATGTCACGCGATATTGCGTCACGTGTCACCCAGAAGTGTTAGATTTGTTTACGACTTTCACGGATTACCTACCTATATTGCCAGTAAACAAAAAAACTTCATTTTGCATGGAGGCCTTCGAGTAGCACATAACGATTGCCAAATCATGCAATTTTAGATTTTTGTGATGCAAAATGGGCTGCCTTTAGCGGGCTTTACTAATATGGCATTAGATTTCACATTACTCCACACACCAATCAGTCATGAACATAACAACCAGGTGGCTTCGTTTGGCTGTCTTAGGAACGCGCAGCCTCTTCTTTGTGATTAAAGTGTACGTCAAACAAACGGCATTCGTTAATTATTGTGAATAGTACTTGGGTCTCAGTCTAATTCCTACTGCAGCAAGCTTGTCACTTGGTAAGCAAATGTGTGCGAAAAGTTCGTAAAGTTAAAACATCAAGATACACGTCGCTAAGCGTGAGCTATTTAAACAGAAGCCCTGTCTGCTTGCTTAGGAAAAACGGGAGCTCGAATAGGTTGCTGAGACACAGGCCATTTTTTTGGCATTTTCCTCAAAAGCCATCACACGTAGACCTGCCGGACGTACATTGCGGTCTTGCTTGAAAACACTTGTTGCACACGGTGTTGCAAAGTCAATCAAATTATTGACAAATGAGGCGTTAGGGTATGATGCGAGGAACCGTTACTCATGCACATCCCTTCGAAAGGCGAGACCTACCTAATTAAAGGTAAACGGTAATGTTTGGACGGACTGTTTTGATAATGATGGCGGGTTGGTCATTCAGCATCACGAGTGTCTGAAGTGGACAATATTCTAGCGCCGTTAAGAATTGCGACTCTGAAATTCACCTTGAACACAAATTTATTAAACGTCATTTTGCTGCGTTTTAAACCACGTAATTAGGCTCATTTAAGCGTGTCACTGAATACATTTGTCGAATAATGGAGACAACAAGAGACCTGCCGTCGTAAGTTCACAAGTTAGTTAATATATCCACGCTGATGTGTCACGTCATAAGGATTTGCCTTCAAAGAAATGCTTGGTTCATGAACCCACACAAGTTAGAAAGTAAAATACTAACAACTTGGGCCAATTTACACACAAAACAAAGCTCTAAACCTTAATCCCTTGTTGTTACTAATCTTGCGGTTAGTAGGCATTGCCATGTGACATGTCAGTAGTCAGCTACTAATAACCCGAGAACAGAGACAAGATGTGTGAAAGCAAACACGATTTGTTCACAAGGGTTCAGTCATCTCTGTTTAAATTAGGTGTTCCCACCTCCGTGTATGTAAAAGTGATAAATAACAAACTGATGCCACCAATGGGAAATAAGCTCGAGAAGAAAGCCCAATCAATGTTCGTCATAACGCCTATTGATGATGTCATTTTCACGCGTTCTGACAGTGCGCATGTATAAAAACCAGTGGATTTCATTGAGAAGACATTTGTGTCTTGCACGGGAAACAGACGATGGAACCGTCACATGCACAAAGCCAAGTAACTGATGAGAGCTCTATTCAAGTACAGGAATCTGGTGTTTCAGATATTGGCAGTGGTTAGTAAACGTTGTTTTCAATTGCCTTTTTGCACAATTTTGATTTAACACTTATTCCAATGATGCGCCTAAAATGGTGAGGAATTTTAGTATAATTCACGTCCTCGATGGAATTGAAATGTGTCCGATTAAGCCAAGTAATACTGAGTGCATCAATGTTGCATTCCTGGAAGACGTAAAGACCCAAACAAATGTGAATCTTAAGTAGTCTGTTGTGTCTCCAAGTCAATTGGCTTGCTGATGATTGCTTCATGCGCATTTCTATTTTAGATGAATCTAACTTATCGGACTCTGGCATAGAGACAGATACACCACCTGAAATGGATAGCGATTCGGAAGTGATATCTGATGAGGCTATCTATTATAGTGATTGTTTGGACGACGAATATGCACTATGGCGATCCCTTCCAGATAGCACACTCGTTGTCATGGAATCGTGGGAATATATGTTTGAAATGGGTGGGTGTTTGTATTTTGCCGTTTCGTACAATTAAGACTTCACATTGCGCATCCATTGGCTCTGTCCTTTGTGATCAACCGTGATTAGTGAGGCATTTTGACAGTATCAACTTGGATTGCGCTGTAATGTAGGGCAAGAAACTTAGACGAATCAGAAATGACACACAAATTTGTAAACGTCGGAATTTGGAATATGCCACAGGTCACTCACTCAGCGAAAATGGCATGTAGCGATATTGGAAAATTAATTTCCTTTTACAGAACTGGAATACGAAGCCCGCGAGGCTGCTGCTGCGTTGATTCGAAACCAAACTTCTCAAGTGCTCCAACGGCATGCCAATGAATTAGACATTGGTCCGCATGAACCCATTCAAAGAATGCACGCTAGCGATGAGTACACTAACGCACTTGCCTTGTGTTATGCTATTTGGGCCTGCCTGGAAGTCACCGATCCTGTGAACTGTCTGCCAAAACCTGGAAATGACAAATGACTGGATCTTTGCTGTTTATCAAACCATCTTACAAATAAATGCACTCACGTAGCTAAGTGTCTGCCATTTTTCTCCCAGTTTTCATACACAATTTGAAAAGAAATCTAATGCTTCGCCGTGAAAAAGCCGCACACAAAGTGCGGTCTTATGTGGGAATGCTTGTGAAACTGAGTGCAGATATGCCAATTTAATGCATAGAGCAACTCGTGAGGTTGGGAGTGCGCATAAAGCCACAAATCGCTTGAGTTCAGAATCATGTCCCAGACTACCTGGGTCTTCTGACATACCTACGAATAATTTCATTTTTACGTCTGC